TATATATAAAATATCTATAACATTAACAAAAATGAATATTAATAAATATTTGTCATAAATATTCTGTACTGTCTGGGCTATTTTACTTGTATTGAAAATACTTTTTTATTCTACTTCATTTTTAACGTACTCATTTCTGACAACGATAATGGACTACAACTTGGACCTAATATCTTATCGCTTCCTAATAAGGAATAATTTAAATTCTTTATTTTATCTGTTGACATATTTTTACTATTTTTTATTATATTATCGATCAAATTGAGAGTTTATACACATTTATTTAATATAATTGACATTGTTTCTGACTTTAATCGTAGTCTCTCTGTTTTTTTAGTCTATTTTTATTTAAAATTTTTATATCGTAATTGATTATTTTATGATTATTTTATCACCATATTATGTTTTGTTCTCTCACTTTTCTAACTTATATTATTAATTTTTTCGCATTTGTTTTTTACTTTTCTTTCTGAGATTGATGTGCTGAAAAAGATTTAACCTAATTAAAATATAACATAATCAATATATAATTATTCTTTATTATGTCTTTCATTCATTTCTTTATTCATCTATTTGAAATAAATAAAGTTTCCCGATCTTATTTTGACTCGTATGACCATTTTTTATCTTTATTTGCAATTCGATGTTTATTCTACATCTGTCCTTCGTCCAAACTAACTTACTATAATAATGAGCAAACATTCTCAAGTGGGGCGCGAGTGGCAACAGTGACAGATTTGACGAATCGCTGATAAGAAAAGCGCTGATAAAGAACATATATAATCTACGGCGACATGAATGTGTTCTTATTCCATCTGAAATGCATTAAAATCCGGGTGTCGTTAGGCGTGGAGATTCGTCGTCCTTCCTGGTAGCATTAGCGTGTTTCATCGTTATCTCTGTAAGCATAATATCGATTAAAATTTAATAGAACTTTTCGTACAAACAGTTTAAGGGATAAAATTGCACTGAGCTCTCGATTTATAAGATTGATATGATATTGCGAAATATATTTTGTAAATTATGGTGTTATATTACTAATATGGTATTATATTACTAATAATAAGTAGAGATTATTTTAACAATATTTACAGCAACATTCCAATGTTTCAGTAATATTGCAGTAACATTTTAATGTTGTAATATTACTGCAATATTTTGTGCTACATGAGCATTGGTAAATGATTGATCCACTTTGCTCTAAATTTTTGTGGGATGAGTAACGTATGGCGTACTTTCTCTCAAACGGCGCGACGTTTTATTAGCTGAGAACTCTTTTAATAGTTGATCGAGAGAATTGATATTGGTTTATATTTTGTCTAGCCGTATCAGTTTCTTTGTCAACTATAAACTAAAGGAGTTACGTGATGCGTACTGGTATTTTGATAAGGATAAAGAGGTTTGAGAAACAGAGAGTCGCGAACCGTCGCTAGAGTTGCAAGTTGCGATTTATAACCGAAATGTAAAGACGAGTATAATATAAGATCATTAGGGCTTTTTTTAAGTTTTTATTAAATTATGCATATTAAGTTTTCTACATTTTTTGTATAAAATAATAAAATATATATATATATGTTCTACGAGGAAAGAGTATATATTTTTTATAATAATATCGTACATATTTAATTTTAATATAATCGTGTCTGTATTTCTTAATAATAAAGAAGTTCTGATTCTTTGTTCAGTCCTACGATAAGAAGAAATAAAAGATGGAGCAGTCCCGTGTTAAACGGTGGTCTCAATATTTAGCAGCGATTACAGGTAAATAAATCTGAATTATTTTTAATTTTTTTAATTCTCACGCTAATTTCCTATAATACATACATGAGACATAAGTTGTCAAGTTGATCCAAAAAAATTAATAATTCGAAACTTTAAAGCATATTAATAAAGATATGTATATAATTAATTTAAAATAAATTTAGAAAAATTGTCAAGAGAGGATATAAATATTATTTTTATTTTGAAATAAGAAATAAGATTCGACCGTGATAATGTACAATATAAATACGATAGAGAGCGCCAATGATCGGTCAAAGTTAGATGTTCCGAATAATAAATATTCTTGATTTATAAATTTAAGATATAATCACGAGCCGAAACATTCGGTCATTCGCATATATATGAAGATCAAATTTTCTCTGCTTTTATTGTAAATGTATGATATGATATCATTTCCTCATACGACTCAGGCCTATGCTACATTTTCTAAATAATATCTTATCGCGATTGATTTACATCATTTAAATAAAGATTATATAATTAATCTCTCTTCCATCTATATATAGAGTATCTCGTTTTTAACTATCATCTTCTAAACTTTTATTTATTTTCAATTTTAGAGAAAAATGTTTTAAACAAACACATACGCATACACACACAAGTTGTATTTGGAGAGAAACAAATAATGATAAAATTGATATTTAAAAAACCCATTTTTCAAAATATAAAAGTTATCACTATTTTAAAAATAGAATTACATAATTTTTTACACAATATGATTTTTTGCATAATATGATTCCTCTAATTAGTCTGCATATAAAAGGATTAAGGTAGAAATATAACAAAACAATAGCTTATAAAATATTTTATACTTTATTTTATAGCAGACTTTAAAATATAAAACATTTTGTTATTCATTTTTTAATAACTTAATATTTTAATACAGAATAATGAGATAAATCAGTAGTGTAAAAAGAATATGTAAGTTGCTTTTAAAAAAATATATGCGGTTGCATATTGCAAATTGCATAATTTTTGCGACAAGTTGCGATTATCACTAGTTTTGCACATCAAGAGTGAAAATATTTCGGCGCGCAATTTGAATATGTATATAAAATTCACATCAAAATATTCAAGATCCAGCTTACATCGTGTAGACTTACATTATTTAGCTTCGTCTGAAACATTTTTCTCTAAAATTGAAAATAAAATTTTAAGGGTAATGGTAAAAATAAGATACCAACTACATATAAAATCTTCTTTTCAGAGAGATCATTTTTTTAAATAATTCATGTATGTATAAAAAAATCAGAGTAAATCATGATTTATTCATCCGTTCGATTTTACCGTAGCTACCTTATCGCTGGCAGCTACCGGATCTCACATAGGCTGGACGTCACCCATCTTGCCAGTACTGAAGTCAACTGATTCCCACGTCCCCATAACGTCCGACGACGCTTCCTGGATTGCCTCTTTCTACCTTTTGGGCACCATTCCCGGATGCATCGTGGCGGCTTTAATCGTAGACCGATTAGGTCGGAAGATAAGCCTGTTGTTAGGCGGCGTACCTCTGACTCTCTCATACATTCTGATCATTGCAGCGTGGAATCCTTACATTCTTTACGCTGCTCGCATTATCGGTGGTATCGGCCAGGGCATAGCGTACGTCATCTGCCCGATGTACATCGGCGAAATCGCCGATAAGGAGATTAGAGGTACCCTAGGTTCCTTCATCAAGCTGATGGTAACCTTCGGAGAGTTATATGCTCATGCAATCGGGCCGTTTGTCTCCTATTGGTTGCTCGGTTACAGCTGCCTGGTGATCCCGCTGATATTCTTCCTCAGCTTTCCTTGGATGCCCGAATCACCGTATTATTTATTAATGAAGAATCGCCCAAGGAATGCGATGATGAGTCTGAAACGTTTGAAGCGCTGCATTTCCGACGATCAACTGGAGACGGACTTGGAGCAGATGCAGAAGATAGTTGTCCGCGATCTCAGCGATCGAGGCCGATTCAGGGATCTGTTCGACACGCCTGGCAATCGACGCGCGGTCATTATCAGCATCGGCCTGCAACTGGTCCTTCAGTTCAGCGGTATCGCTGCGATTGAGTCGTATACTCAGGAAATTCTCGAGGAAGGCGACGCGCATCTACCCGCGAGTTCCTCTGTCATCCTGTTAAGTGTGCTTCAATTGATCGCTGGTCTTGGAGCGGTGGTTCTGGTTGACAAACTAGGTAGACGACCATTACTCATTACCACCTCTCTTCTAGCTGGAGTCGCGCTGACCATCACTAGCGTCTTCTATCTCGTAAAATTCCAATTCGGAGTGGATACAACTGGATACGGCTGGCTGCTTCATTGCTCCGTGATATTTTATGAACTGATCATCGCTCTGGGCCTGAATCCGCTACCTTACATGATGCTAGGCGAACTGTTTCCGACGAACGTCAAAGGCGCCGCCGTGTCGTTGGCCAATCTAGTGTCTTCGTTGCTAGCCTTCATCGTCTCCAAGATGTATCAAGTAATCTCCGACAGTTTGGGAGTGTACGCAGCCTTTGGCTGGTTCGCTATCAGCTGTTACGTCGGCGTATTCTTCATTATGCTGATCGTCCCCGAAACCAAAGGCAAGTCCTTACTAGAAATTCAGGAAGAGCTTAACTGTAAGAAAAAGAAGAAGAAAAGCGCAAAAGGCGAACAAATCCAAATAAGTACGATTTCTTAGGTCGTAGGTGCAAGTAAGGCCGCGATGCTTATGAAGAATTCGCGATAATTTTTAAACGATGAAAATAAGCAATGCGCGTTCCTGGATTACAGAACATTTGACAGGGAACTTCGAAGCGGTTGATCGCTCTTCCAGTTACATATGCCCGGATCGATTGTAAAAACGAACGAGAAATATTTCCAACAATCATCGGTAAGATCAATTGTAATATTTACACTGAAAAGAGAGTCTGATAATAATTAAATTTTGAATAAAATAATATCAATTAAATGTTGAGATAAGGTAACCAAAAATGATTTTATTTTTTTAAATATTCAGTAAATATTACCAAACATAATAATAAAACTAAAGTTTAATACTAAATATTTAGAAAAAAAAAGAATTATTTTTTGGTAAATTAATCGAACGTCTAATTGAAATTATTTCATTCAATATTTAATTATTATCAGATTCTCTTTTACAGTGTGAATACATAATTGGATTATCGGTTCAACAAGGTATGAATGAAGTTAATACAATGCTATTTGCAAACTTTAAATGATAACAAGGCGTTACTATTTGCAAAATTTGAATGAAACAAACATTACTGTTTACAAATAGTTCGAAAGAACAGAAGAGCATTCCCTGTCAAAGGTCGAAATATTTACGCGCTCTTTCATATAAGAAATTTGAAAGAAAATTTTCAGAAATGTTATTAGGCACTAAGATCTAGCCACGACCATTTAAAGGCCTTTTTCCTTAATTGAAAATTTTAAGAATCTCTATATTGCTAGTTAAAAAGTCTTTTGCATTTTGATTTGAATCTGTTATTACAGAAATATTTTTTTTATTTTCTACACTTTATTGTAACTGAATGAAATTTGAATTACAGTTTAATCAATATTCGAATACGAAGGAAAGATCAGAGAATAGTTAGTTTATAAGATTTTAGTGTTTAAGAAAGGGCCCTTATATTCCATTGAAGAAGGCGCTTCGATTGAAGTAATGAGATCGCTAAAAGAGCATTTTCCCGATCGAGAAATTATCGTAGTTATAATTAGACAGAAACTCCAACTCGTGATAATGACGCATATTTGTTGAGATCATATTTACAATTCAAATACGCAAATAAGCGCAAATTATCACTTGTACAAACATTATATTAATTTCAGAATGCTTTAACTCAAATGCCTTAATCAAAAAATGTATGTTGGACTATGCAGAATTTGACAGAAAAATAATGGTGTAAATTTTGCGCTATTACTCTTTGTTATCATTAGCAGTACGTGGAAATCGAATTTTTCATTTATACACAATATAGACAAGTAGAATGAAAGATTTTAGCGTAACACAACAGATGCGGAACCAGGAATAATTGTCTGTAATTGAAGCATATTTTTATGTGTCAAAGCAAACGTGTTCTCAAAGAGCCGATCATTCCAACTGTTGTGTTCACTAAACGTTTTCTGTGCTTTTGTGGTAATAGTACAGGTAACTTGTTTGCTGCGTCGGCTTTGAAACGTCAGCTCGATCGGCAAAAGTCTCGATTTAGCGAAGAAATCTCAGCCGAAAATAATGCGAATTTACAGTGTGTCTGATGGTTTCCGAAGAACCGCTTCAAAGAAATCGTTCCTTCGGAAGCCATCGCGCATCGACACATCCAACGTGCGTTAGCTGGGGTCCCGAATTGTAAGAGCAATCTTGCATGACCATCTTTTTCCCCTTTTAGGCAGGGTTAAATTGAAGAGACTGATAGTTTTTAATTAATCGTAAAGTATTTATTTATCGCCCTGGCCGAGCTCCGAACAGGCAAAAGATTTTCGCGGGAAATTCCATGCGTGGAGAATCCATCGCTTTATTTTCGCGTGATGTGTATCTTTCATGATAAGACATTCTTGAATCTTATCTGAATTTGAAGAATCTCTCTCTGATACAAGAAAAATAAAGAAATGAAGATAATAAGTAAAATAATAAAACAAATGTATAAAGAATCTCTCGAGGAGTAAAAGAAAAGGAAAGAAGAAGTAGCAAAACCCTGTTCGGCGCGATACCATGGCGATTAGAAACATCTTCTTATCCCTTTAAGGCAGGGTGTAAAACAACACATGATATAACGCTTACGATTAAACGTTATTAAAGAATAGCGCGTGTGATCCGCGCGTATCTCATGCAGATACGAGCGCACGCCTATGGCCCTGATGCAAGAAGGATTTAGACGAGCACTGTGGCATGACTAACTTATATTTCCCTTTCAGGCAGGGTGAGACACATACGTACGTTATAGAAATAGCTTCGGCGTAGAATATAACTGGCCCGTTATTAGAGTTAAAGAAAACACTCGCGCACGTTCCGACATGCGTTATAAACTTACCCGGAGTACCCGTGCGTAAATGGCCGCCAATAATAAATGATAGTCTGGACGTGGAAAGATGGCTTTCATAATCGGAACTAACGGCATCCCCACTCAAGGGAAGATTTATTCTTGTTCCTGCCGACGCGATCCACCTGTTACATATTATAGAACACTGCTACAAGTAATGTAGTCGTGTTTGACAAGTAAACGGCCGAAAGCGTATGAATGGAAATCACGTTACAGAAATAATTTGCGGATAGTAGGTCATTCGTGTTTATAATTACGGCCACGTTGTACGCGCGGGGCACTTCATGGAAACGATTTTGCTAAAGTATCTAAAAAGTATCTATACATTTCTAATATTCTAAATTATTTTATTTATATCATATGAAACATTTGATATTATTTATAATAATATATAGCTCTATATTATTTATAATAAATTAATATATACACTTGAAATCAAAATTGTGAGATATATTAAGACACTAAAAGGATTCTTAATACAAACATTTATGGAATATGATGATATTATCAGAGATAAATATATATTTCAATTACTGAACATTTCATTTTGGTCAGTCCATATTGACGAATAGACTTGATAAAGTAACTATTAAATTAGTTACTAAAAAGATACAAGTAAATTGAATTAGAGTTACTGAAGAAAAATAACTCTAATTCTAATTTCGTTACAAGTAACGAGTTACGTCCCAACCCTGATTATTTTGATGGTTCAACAAAATTATTTTTACATTTGTATTTAGCTAAATTTTTAGATACTTTAATAAAATCGTTCTTCCGTGTTATTTTGATAAGCTACACCTTATTAACTCGAGTGTCAAGTATGTTCGCGCTATTGCCGACTCTCTACATGTCCCTTTTAGGCAGGGTTCAAACGCTAATCGAACTCCACCTCGACTTTACAGATTTCTACAATGTAGAAGTTTGCAATATTCGTTGACAAATAAAGAAACTCACCATTTTGATCTGCAGCTATACCGAGTGAGCTTTTTTTCTTGCATCCTCCCTCGTGCACAATCTCGCATTTCTCCTCTCGCTTTCTCCTCCCTTTTCAGACTCATTTCAGGAGGCAGCGCGATTCGGTAAAAGGTCAGTAAAGAGGCGGTCGCAAACCGGACAACTAGTATGTATATTTTTGCATTATAATAATCTCGTTATACATAAACGTTATTACAATATAGAAACATAAATTTTTTTTATAATATCTCATCCATTGTAACATCTCACAACACCTCGCTATGATACACACCTCGTGGTCAAGATTATATTACTACTACAATCCCTGGCGTAAAATCTCGTCAGCGTGCCCGGAATACATCACTCGCGTGACTTTTTTCCTTGAATAAAACACGCGTGTCTCGCGTACGAGAGCGACAAGATGAAACTTGCACACAGCTTTTTATCCCGCTTATTATTTTATGTTACGCACATTGCCCAATTTTACCGAAAAAAAACCCGCAGATTTATCTGCATATTTTATAGTTGTATTCAGACCGCAAAATTGGTTATTAATATGCATTATTTCAAAAAAATTATTTCACATCATAAAAAAAATGAGGAAAATGATCGTTTTGAAACCTGCTCGGCCCTCAGTGTGTATTTAACTGAGGAATTTTGGCGTGATAAAAAAATAAAAAGTAAAGCATAAGGCGGATTTTTTTTCCCGTCCTGAAAAAGAATTATGCAAATGATTTTTGCATTTTTAATTTAGGTATTATTATCTACATTACATGCACTGAAAAATCTATTTAGTTGAATCAAGTAATCTCTTGTTTGGGTAAACAAAATCCTTGGTTGCAATAAAATAATTTAGTTGAAGCGAAACATTTGGTTATTGTAACATTTTACTTGTTTCTGATAAACATTGACATCTGATAAATTGTTTATCATAAACAAGTAAAATGTTACAATAGCCAAACGTTTTGATAAGCTAATTCCATTAAATTTATTCCATTAAAATTATTTTATTGTATCAACTAAGGATTTTGTCGACCAATATCCAAACAAGAAATTGATTCAACAAAACGGGTTTCTCAATGGAAAACATTCAGAAAATATTCAATCAAAGTATAAAATAGATTCTTGAAATCTCTTTCAAACTCGAGAAATTCGATAATATTGAGCTATGTGCCTCTTTTATAATCGCGAATCTCTTGATTGCAGTACTGATAGTGCAATCAACTGTTCTTGAACTGTAGATGAAGTTTTGAAGATAAAATTTTGTACGTTTTATCGGTGCCTCATCTTTTTTTTTTTTTATTGCGAACACATTTTTTCCGCCGGCGGATGCGTGCAGTTGCCAGCGCGATATCGAAGCTATAAAGTAAGAAGCAATGAGAAGCGTGAGAGTCATTTCTGCTCGACGATCCCGAACGATCAACGATCGGACAAACCATCCACCTTTCCCCGTGTTGGAGCTTGTCGCTCGTGTAACGAGCCACGTCGCGCGTTGCTGCGACGCAGAAAATGCCCTCTCTTTCTCTTGTAAAAACGCACACACAAGCGATCGTACTCACACCGGCACTATGATTGTCGAAGGGAACTGGAGTGCGTACCGTGCGGTACACACACAGATTTGGCACACGCATCTCGTATCCTCGGGGGCTTAAAGTACGGTGCGGCCTTGACAAAGGGATTATATCGTATCGTCGGTGGTATCATAGTGTCGTATGAAATAAAAACGCGACCAGCGCAAATATTTCTCTCTCTCTCTCTCTCTCTCTCTCTCTCTTTCTCCGTTTATCCTCGAAATTTCTAACGTCCACTATATGCGCCACCATGCACTCGTTAAGCTCAATTCGCCCTCGTGGGATCTCTTCGAGACTACCCGAGTAAAGCCACGAGCGCGCGAATACTAAGCTATTTATTAGCT